CTTCCTCGCTCGCTCCCCCACTGAGCTCACCATAGACCTGCTTGAGAAGGAACTGCTTGCAGCTGAGACTAGCATAGTCGCTGTAGCTGCCTCTCGTGGCGACCCCCGCACCCCTTTCTTCGATGGGTGTTCCCCTTCCCCCCTTCTCCCCTCTGTCGCCTCTGCTGCGGCTGTCGACCTAGTTGGTACTGATCAGGTCGGGACTGCGTCCGCTTCGAGCTGGCGCCGCAGCGGCAAGGGCAAAGGGGGCAAGGGAGGTGGAGGTGACGGCGGGGGAGGTGGTGGTGGGGGCGGTGGCGGTGGTGGGGGTGGTGGCGGGGCTGGAGGGGCTAGTGGCAGCGGTGGGGGTGGAGGCGGCAGCAGCGGAGGAGGTGGCCGGGGTGGGGGCGGTGGTTGGGGAGGCGGTGGACGCGGAGGCGGCAGAGGCGATGGTGGTCGAGGTGGTGGCGGCGGCGCTGGTGGTCGTGGAGGCGCTGGCGGTGGCCAGAGCCAGCAGCACACTCCGTCGTCCCAGGAGCTTCGTGAGTGGTAATCTCAGCACGGGGGGGGAGGGTGGCCTTAGCTGTACGTACGTCATCCGCACTGGTGACCGCACTGGCCAGACGTGTGGGAGGGCGCACACCACGCAGCGCTGCTCCTCCCGCCTTGACGACGCTTGGTGCACTCAGTTCCCTGCTGCCACTGAGCTGCCCCGCTGGGCTGACCTGATGAAGAAGAACATTGATATCTATGCTCTTGACTTCGATGCTATTCTCACTGCCATGTATGTGTTGTCTACTAGTGGAGAGGGTGATCAGTACCTGCGTGTTCCGCCCGACCCGGGCATTCGGACCAGTGAGGCTGCCGCTCTAGGTGCTTGCGTGTCTGCTTCCCCAGGTGCTGGTGAGGCTGCTGCTCTAGGTGCTTGCGTGTCTGCTGCCCCAGGTGCTGGTGAGGCTGTTGCTCTAGGTCCTAGTGAGTCTGCGCCCCCTGGTAGTGAGTCCACTGAGGCACTGCACACCTTCACTCTAGACTCAGGAGCTTCTCGCTGTTTCTTTCGTGACCACACTGCCCTTGAGAAGCTTGCCCGGCCAGTTGCTGTCTCCCTTGCTGACCCCTCTGGGGGTCCGGTCATTGCGACCTCCTCCATTGTCCTTCCTTGTCCTGCGGTTCCATCAGGCACACTGTCAGGTCTCCACCTCCCCTCGATCTCTACGAACTTGGTGGCGGGTTGTGCGCTCCAGGACGGGGGTGTCCACCAGTTCACCCCTGCCTACGAGCGCGTGACACACTGCACGTGTGCTCGGACGGGCCGTCACCTCGCTACCTTCACTAGGCAGCCGGGGTCGGACCTGTACACACTAACCACTGAGTCCCCTCAGGTAAGCTGCGTCTGCGTCTGCGTCAGGTCAGCTGTCTGCCCCCTGCTCGTGTCGCTCTCTCGCGCACGAGACTGTCCTCTGGCACCATCGCCTTGGTCACCCGTCAGTGCAGCACCTTTGTGCCATGCACAAACAATACCTTGTCTCTGGTCTTCCCCGGATACTCCCTCCCCTCCCACCCTCGCCTGCTCCTCCCTGTCTTCCTTGTATCGAGGGGCGGCAGCGCGCCGCTCCTCACTCCTCCTCGTTTCCCCCGACGACTGCTCCCTTGCAGACGCTCCGCATGGACGTGTGGGGCCCAGCCCACGTCCGTGGACAGGGTCAGGAGAGGAACTTCCTGATCGTTGTTGACCACTACTCGCGCTACACCACGGTCTTCCCCTTGCGCACCAAGGGTGAGGTCCCTGATGTTTTGATCCCTTGGATCCGCGCTTCTCATCTCCAGCTCAGCGAGCGGTTCCACTTGGACTTTCCTGTCCTGCGTCGGCACTCAGACAGAGGTGGCGAGTTCTCCTCCGACCTCTTGGCGGCCTACTGCGCTGAGCACGGTATCGGCCAGTCGTTCACGCTTCCGGCCTCTCCACAGCAGAATGGGGTTGCTGAGCGCCGCATTGGCTTGGTCATGGAGGTCGCTCGTACCTCCTTGATCCATGCGGCTGCCCCCCACTTTCTGTGGCCGTTTGCGGTCCGGTACGTTGCGCATCAGCTCAACCTCTGGCCCCGTGTCTCCTTGCCGGAGACCTCGCCCACACTGCTGTGGACGGGGGAGGTTGGCGATGCATCGCGTTTCCGGGTCTGGGGATCTCGAGCTCTTGTCCACGATACGTCCGCGGACAAGCTCTCCTCCCGCGCTGTTCCTTGTGTCTTCCTTGGCTTTGTCCCGGACACGTCTGGTTGGCATTTTTACCACGCCACCTCGCGCCGTGTCCTTCCCTCTCAAGACGTCACTTTTGACGAGTCGGTGCCCTACTACCACCTCTTCCCCTACCGCACTGCCCCGCTCCCTCCCCCGCCTCTCTTCCTCGCGCCAGGTGCTGCTGTGGTAGACCCCCTCCCCCCTCAGGGTGCCGCTCCCTCAGGTGTGTCCCAGGTAGACCCGGTTGAGCCTGTCAAGGTAGCTGTCGACTCTCGTCCTGCTCGGGGTGCTGAGTCTGAGGGTGCGGAGCCTGGGGGTGCGGAGCCTGGAGTTGCGGAGTCTGGGGGTGCGGAGCCTGCGGGTGCTGAGTCTGGGGGTGCGGAGTCTGGGGGTGCTGAGCCTGAGGGTACTGCGACTGAGAGTGCTTCACCTGGAGATGCTCTTTCCTCACAGCAGCTGCGTGAGTGGTACTTACAGTATTGCAGCCTCAGGAGAGGTACTGCTGGAGCTTGTGCTCGTGCTTTCCCTCCTAGGCGGGAGCTGCCCTCTCCCCAGCGGCTTCGAGAGTGGTACGCTCGTCGCTGCAGTCTCCGGAGTGGCGCTCCTAGTGTCGAAGACCCTGGAGCTGGAGCTCCTGGAGCTGCTGGAGGTGCTGCTGGTGCTGCTGCTGCTGGAGCTGCTGCTGGTGCTGGAGCTGCTGGAGGTGCTGCTGCTGCTGGAGGTGCTGCTGGTGCTAGTGCTGTTTGAGCGGCTGGAGGTGCTGGTACTGCAGGCGCTGCTGGAGATGCTACTAGTGCTGGTGCTGCTGGAACTGCTGGAGGTGCTGTTGCTGCTGGCGGTGCTGCTAGTGCTGCTGGAGCTGCTGGAGGTGCTGCTGGTATTGGTGCTGCTGGTACTGGTACTGCTGGAGCTACTAGAGGTGCTACTGGTGCTGGAGCTGCTGGAGGCACTGCTGCTACTGGCGGTGCTGCTGGCGGTGCTGCTGGAGGTGCTGGTGGTGCTGGAGCTGTTGGAGCCGCTGGTCCTGGAGGTGCTCGTACTGGACGTACTGGAGCTGCTGGGACTGGAGCTGCTGAGGGGGTTGGAGCTGGAGTTGCTGAGCGGCCGTGGCCGTACTATGTTCCGCTCCTTCAGCAGGTTCTTGGTCTCCCGCCCTCTACTGGTCCTACTCCTCCCCTACTGAGTCCACCGCCTGTCCAGTCACAGTCACAGTTACAGCCTGCCTCTCCGCTACCTGGTCCTTCTCCTTACACTGCGCCGACGGGTAGTCTTATTGAGCGTCGTGAGCCTGAGTCTCGTCCTCCGTCGCCTGAGTCTAGTCCAGAGTCGCCTGTGTCGCGTCCAGAGTCGCCTGTCCGAGCTGTCCGCGCTGGTCGTCGTGCTCCGCGTGAGCGTCCTCCTCCTGTCCTTGGCACTCACTATATGACCCTGCGTCCTAGTTCAGCCACATACCTAGGGAATATTCTAGTGACTTCCAGCCACTCAGAGCTATGCGATGCTAGGTATGTGGCTGCTAGTTCAGATGTTGCTTGTGGCTGCTAGATCAGATCTGTCTTAGTGAAAATGGGGGAGTAAAGAAGAAGGAAATCCAAAGGGCACATGAAGGGCTGACATAGATGGATATCGGTTGAGAGGGATAAGAACAAGGAAGTGAGCTCACAATATGATAAGATAGGGTAGCGAATCAAAGTTGGGTAGCGAGCCAGAGAATGCGTTGCCTTGCAGCTCACTGTGTGGAGGCATGGGTTGCATGGGATGGGGATAGGGGAATTACCAGCAGCGTGTATGAAAGGGAATGTTTACGATTGCACATCCATAATCTGCATTGCTATCGTTCTGAGGGAAATCAATCAAGAGACAACTTGAGCACACGCGCTTGTCTCCCTCCTCCCTTCCATACCAGGACCAAGCAACTTCAAGGCGCGCTTACAGAATATCGAGATGGGTGGGAACGGCAGAAGGAAGGGGACCTTGAAGCTGGTTGTGAGCCATCAAACTGGAGAGATTGAATGGGCGATGGTGGAAGGGAGTGAGATGATGGTAACATGCATGCATTGAATGTCCCAAAAGGGAAGCGCTGCAGTGACGAGTGAGCATTTAGTGACCCATGGGCCATGGCATGTTGGAAGGCACACGTGTACTGCATGCCACCATGAAATTCCACCTCCATTTTGTTGTTACCTGCACCATCTCATGGCCAGGTGCATGCACGCCATCCCATGGCCAGGTGCATGCTTGCCATCTCGCTTCCATGCTGGGACCTCTTCCATGCTGGAACGGGTAATGTGGCATGGCACGGCACAGCATGGCACGACACAGCATGGCAAGGCACGGCACAGCATGTCACGGCCGGGATAACGTGTGGCCTTCCAATTGATTGCGCCTCAACACTTTATTAGTTGTATATGCGTGTTGTTGAGGAAACCTTCAGTTAGCAGTGGCCGATGACGAAAGCCAGCATCCAAGTATGGTAAAAAATGTGTAATTTGGATCACAGGCGGCCTGCTGTAAGAGAGGTGGATCACTGGCGCAATCGCGTCAGTGGTCCGCCTGCAGATGAAATGACTAGCCACGAGAAGCCCGGGCGCAAGGCAAGCCGCTAAAACGAGAACAATGAGACAAACAGGGCACCGAGGGCCCTTGTGTAGTCATTACACAAGGCTGGGAGGCACGACCGAGGGAGGAGGTGGCTCAGGCTAAACTTTTCCCTCTCTAGCGCGAGCCACCGAGAATACGAACAAAAATCAAGGACATTATGATGTCAATCACCCAGAACTTACACGTCAGCAATGATGGCAGAAGGCATGGAGGTGAGTTGATTCCAGGAGAGGTCTCTGCACGCAATGAGGGCAGGCAGAGGCGAGGGGACGTGGAGGCGAGGGGATGTGGAGGCGAGAGGATGTGGAGGCAAGGGGAGTGGTGGGGAGGGGATGTGGAGGTGGGGGGATGTGGTGGAGAGGGGATGTGGAGGCGAGGGGATGTGGAGGGGAGGGAATATGAAGGTGAGGGGTTGTGAAGGTGAGGGGATGTGGTTGAGAGGGGATGTGGAGGGGAGGGGATGTGGAGGGAAGGGGATGTGGGGGATATGTGGAGGCATTCACAGTGAGGTACGGGCGTGAATGCTTCCTTGCCACACCCCAGTGGGTGTGCGGTGTGGTTCAACTCTTTTTACTGGAGAAACACGAATCAGGGCTGAGAAACACGAGTCAGGGCTGGGAAACACGAGTCAGGGCTGTGAAGCATACGGCAATGCTATGACCAAGTGGAGCCTCTAAGGTATCAGAAGCTTGAGAAATCGTGGAAGCACGATAGTATGGTAATGCCAACCTTAGGCTACTGGGAACGCAACGCAACATACTGGATATGCAGCGTTTGTACATTGCTAAAGTAACAATAGGCGAATTTCAAGGGGCGCTTGCATGAAGTTGCCACATGGAGATGAGAAAGCATGGTGAGAGAGAGACTGCGCAAGAGAGACTGCTCAAGAGCCTCCAACACATCATTCTGATTGGTTGAATTGCGACTCAGCATGCAAGGGTGCCAGATGGAGGTGCGTTGCAATCCACGCCACGCGTGAGCTCATGCCAGGCAAGGCGAGCCTTGAAGTCTCACAAGTAGGCGTGAGTGACAGGAGCGGCGTCGGTGATATTGTAGAGCCGAGCAACCTGTGTTGTGTTGCGTGGAGGCAGGCACGTGTGTGTGGAGGCGGGGACGTGTGTGTGGAGGCCAAGACACGCACATGTATTTTAGATAGCAAGTGGTAGTGCAATGCCTCGACTTTATACAATGGAATTATTTCCTACAACAAGGGAGTGGAATTTTATGCATGACAGGTTTTGATGTTGCGAGGCCTTCTCATCACCGTAGCTTTTCTACATGACGACTTGAGAAAGACTTGCATTATGTCACAACAGATAGCCCACCCTTTACAGATGGTAAGCCTACTTGTGAAAGTCACATTTGCAAGAGCACTGGTAAAATAGGACATAGAGCCAATAGGACATACAGCCAAAGTGATATACAGAAGACATGATAGAACATTCATCTGAGAAGACCACACCATGCCTTGGTTCACCTGGATCTGGTACGCCTTGAATCAACCGCACAACATTTTGTTGCCATGCTAATTTATGCTGGAAGCCATGGTGGAAAGTCAAAGGGGGAGCTGTGAGGGGCTTACAGGTAATCCAGTTTTGGCAGTTTGCTGATGCCAGCAGGACTGCTTCCTGAGATGTTGTTCCCGTAGAGCTCCCTGGTGGGGCCACGGCAAGGAGGAGAGGAAGGAAGGGGAATGGCCACAGGAAGAACAACTTTCATAGGATAAACTGCTTTTTCAGGAAGAACCGTTTTTACAGAAAGAAGCGCTTTCACAAGACCAACTGGGTGAACTGCGTTCACTTGATGAACCACATTTACTGGATGAAGTGCCTGTGCAATAGATTTATTCAGAGACCATTATCTAGCTGGATTGTAACACCTTGGTGCTCACAACCTGGGGCTCACAAACTTGCTCTCACAACCTGGCGCTTTGGCGTATAGTAAGGGCGTATCTTTGGTTTGGGTCATAAGGCCACTTTGGGTCATGCACGTTTTCCGCATGACCCAAGCAGCACAAAAGGCCACCTTATCCGCACTTCGGAAGACCGCTTTGGGTCATGCGCGAATTCCGCATGACCCAAAAAGTAGGATGAACAGTGCCATGACCCAAACCAAAGATTCGCCCGAAGTAAACTCTTCATTTTTTGTACAACCACTGCATTTCTAATGAGGTTTCCAAGGAAGGACGGGGAAGGAGAGGAAGGAAGGGGAGAGAAGATGTAAGGGGAGAGAGGATGGGAAGGGGAGAGAGGATGGGAAGGGTAGAGCGGATAGGAAGGATTGAGAGGAAGGAAGGATTGAGAGGATGGGAAGGGGAGAGAGGACAAAAAGGGGAGAGAGGATGGGAAGGGTAGTAGAGCGGATGAGAAGGATTGAGAGGAAGGAAGGATTGAGAGGATGGGAAGGGGAGAGAGGAAAAAAAGGGGAGAGAGGAAAAAAAGGGGAGAGAGGATGGGAAGGGGAGAGAGTAAGGAAGATGATAGATGATGGGAAGGGGAGGCGTACAAGATGGTGAGGGCGGTGAGGGCGGAGATGGTGGAGGGGATAGAGCCAGTGAAGCCATTCAGACCGGCCCGCCTGCAGGTGCAAGGCAAGGGGCAAGAGGAGAGGAGCGAGAGGAGAGGAGGGGCGCATGCATTGGTTGCTGGAAGGCAACAGGGTTGGGCTGAGTGGGCCGTCGAGCGATGTGCAGATGGACGGGCAGAGGGAAGATGGGCCCAGTGCGTCTTGGTGGGAAATATAAGGAACGGATGGCTTAGGATGGCTAGGTGAGCAGCACAAGGTGTCAAACCAAGATGGTGTGCTCTTGACATGACCGATGGCTCACAACGTCTCCAGCCTTGTGAGCGCCATCCACTCGGTGGGGAACAGTGCAGAGCGGAAGACGGTTAAGTTTTCGGTGACATCCCTACAGGGCAGACAAGGGCAGGGGGATAGGGGAGGCGCGGGGCACTCCAATCGGTGGAGAGGCATGGGGGGGAGAGCATTGCAAGTGGCATCAGCGTACATCGGAATCTCTCTTTCTAGCCATCGTGCCATCCCTCTAGCCATGGTTCATTCCCCTGATCGACTCTGCCTTGAGCCACATGTGGCCCAGTGTAGGGCATCACCACATAGAGCAGCATAGCACACGGCAGCACAGGGAAGCCGACAAACACCCTCGATTCAAGGCGGCACAGATCAATCGGGGTGCGAGCTTGAGCCGGTTTCATTGGCATTGCTCTGGCCGCAAGCTATGGAAGCGGAGGGAGAGAGCGCAAGGGGCAAGACTGTGGTAAATTGCAGGTGGTGCAGGAAGTGAGAGGAGTGGTACCCACTGAGCGGACGTGCGCTAGCCTCTTGTATCCTAAGTGAAGCACAGGCAAGGTGCAACAGGAAGCACTGATAATAGTCAGGGCGGGGTGGGGCGAGGGGCTCATGGTGCTACTCACAAATAAGTGAGCTTAGAGAGTGAAGCGATCCATTGCGGTAAGCGGGTGATGGGAAGAAAACAAGGAAGACATCCGACAGACTTACAGGTGCATGAGTGAAGGAAGTGCAGCAACAGAAGAAGGGAAATCTCCAGCAGTTAGGTTGAGATTCATGAGAGCACTGGGGAGGACCGAGGATGGAGGAGAGGCAAGGGTGCAAGAGGGAGGATGAAAGACACTGGTAAAGTGGACAGACGAAAGTTGGGGAGCAGAGAGAATGGGAGCGAGTGAGGAGGCGTGAATGAAGCACGGGCAAGTGCCATGTTCAGTGTGGGTGGGAGAGGGGCAGCAGCAGGCGGCGAGCCCCTTGGATGGGTGGTGCGATTTGCAGGGGGGCTTGAATCCAAGAACTATGCACTTTAAATAGAAACAGGTGTTGGCAAAGCAAGGGCAGGTAAGCATTAGTGAGAGGGGAGGGGAAGACGGGTAGGTGGGGGGTGAGACGGGGAGGTGAAGGCGGCTAGGAAAAGGTGTGAGGGGAGGAAAGGCGGGTAGGGACAAGTGAGAATAGGCAGAGATGATTTAGATTAGAGGGACGGGGAGGATGGGTAGGGATGAGTTAGATTCAGGGAAAATGTGGGTTGGGAAGAATCGAGGCATACAGATCCTGGAGACGAGTGAGTGGGGCGAGACATGAGAGGTCGTTCACAGAGCCTTGCATCATAGGGAAAGGCTGGTACTGCTCAAGGCTGCAAGGGTAGAGGTCACAGGGTGAAGGGAGCCGGGGAGTGATTAGCTTTCAGTGGGCTACGTTTGCCGCACCACAGCAGAAGCATTCACGCAGGGGGCTATTGAGAATTGTAAAAATGCAGCAGCAGTCACAGCAGCAATGGGTGCGGCAGAAGCCCCGTTTGCTTGGGTGCATGGAGCAGTGAGCAGCACGTGGGATTGATCATGTTAGGAGAATAGAAGGCAGTGAGATGTGGCAAGGAAGGTGGAGTGTGAGAGGTGCGGCAAGGAAGGTGGAGTGTGAGAGGTGCAGTAAGGAAGGTGAAGTGTGAGAGGTGCAGCAAGGAAGGTGGAGTGTGAGAGGTGCGGCAAGGAAGGTGGAGTGTGAGAGGTGCAGCAAGGAAGGTGGAGTGTGAGAGGTGTGGCAAGGAAGGTGGAGTGTGAGGTGTTGCAAGGAAGGTGAGGTGAGCACACACAGCTGGCCTTGTCACATGAGCTGCCCTACTGCACGGCACTGTGCCGTTCAGAACTATGTGCTTCCCATCACATACGTGTTTCTTTTTAAGAGCATCCCAAGCATCAGATCCTCGACCTGCACTCACACATTTCCATTGACCACCTGACCATACACAGTCTTCCGTTCCGTAGCCATGTTACACCACTCTTGCAAATATATTGAAGGTGATTCGCATACATCATGCACGATGTGTTAGTGTTAGACCTCAATCTCATCTTTTGTACTTGTACTTTTTTATATCATAGATTTGTATAGCTTGTAGTCTGCGTTGGTTGAGTGTACACCCACATCCCAACCTCACCCAAATGGGATAAACCGAAATCTCCAACCCACAAATTAGAGATTTTAGCCGATCTGCTTGGGATTGCCCATATCTTATGTACTTACGAGCATTGAGCTCATTACCTTATGTATCAGCAGCAGGCCCAAACATCCCCGTCAGTCTTACTCTGATGGAGATTCGTTAAGGTACGGAAAACCAAGAAAGACCTGCAGGGGGTTCCCAATGCGCCTGCATGTTGGGGGCAGTGCAGAGGGAGGAAAGGGAGTTAGGGACATGCTAGCAACTGACTAGTGCGGTAAGAAAGAAAGCCGAGCAGCGCCTGTGAAGTGAAGAGAGCACAAAGAAAAGTGTCACCACGAGGTTTAAACGATGTGTTTGCCAGCTTGGGGGTGGAGGAGGACAGGGGGGAGATTTAGGAAGGCAAGGAAGGAAGTTGGGGAAGGTGAGGGAAGAAATACAGAGTTTGGACTGTATTGAGGCAACATCAGTTGCCAGGGAGACTTCCACTTAGATTCAGGCCCTGGAGGTTACTGGGATGGGATGCATACGAGTTGGTGCACAGAAGAACGTGCCAGTAGGGGAAAATGTGCATTGGCACGCTAATAGATGAGATTGAATTTCGGAAATTGGTTCCAACAGTAGCGTGTATGCTGCCTAACAAAAAGAAAGAAAGAAAGAAAGAAAGAGAGAAAGGCAAGAATGAAAGCACTCTCCATAGCAGCGAGATGAACTGCCCCCGTCGGCCACGCTAGACACGTGATGGAATCCCGGGTTCTCATTCTTCCTCAGGTGACAAGGGCAGCAGGTGCACGCCAGGATCATGATTCATCATGCCCTGTTGCCTTGCCTTGACACTAGAACCCCCTCTTACAGGTACTGCAGGCTCTTAGCATTGCTGATGGTTTCCGGGATGGATCCTCCGAAGTAGGTGTGGCTCAGATCTCTGGTGTGTGCCATGGCAACCAAGTGGGCAGGGGAGTACGCACACCTCACATGTGGGAGACAGCAACAAGCAAGGGAAACTGATGATAAACTAACCATGGACTCGACTCGAACGATGAACGTGGGTATATAGGCGAGAAAGTGCAATGGCGGAACGGGAGTAGTTGCGTACACATATTGCAACTTGGGGAAATGGCTGAGAATGTCCACGCTTCCACCGAAGTCATTGAATGACAGATCCCTGCAGAGTGGCATGCAACGCAATGCAATGCAAGAGGCAGGGTGACTATAAAAGAAGCGAATCCCAAGAGTGTGAGCCTCGAGGTCCCTGTACCTTTCAAGCTTCGAGGGTTTAAGGATGTTAATAAAAAAAACTAGTAGTACCTGCGGAGTGGCATGTGGAATGAGAGCAAGAGATACACAGGGAACTCCCAACTGTGTGAGAAGCATTAAACTCTGTGTGAAGGATTTTTCTAGGTCGCAAGCACACATGTTCCAGTGGTGTTTCAGCGCACCCTCAACAACCCAACGTGTGGACCTTCAAGTACCCCTACGGCCATCCATCCTAGCTCCTCCCAACAATGGTAAGCACTGACAGTTTCTGAAGCACAGAGAGGGCTGTGATGGCTGCCTGTCAAACTTATGTGCTGCTTATTGTGTAGGCTATAGTTAGGTAGCCCATATGGGGTAAAACCCAATTAGGGTTTGCTACTTGTACCCATCTTGCTGCTAGTTCATCCATTCTCGCTTACTGATTCTGACATGGTTTCAGAGCAGGTCCTGACCTAGGACCGTTTTTTTAGGGCCCACCGCATCGTTTCCTGCCCGTAGCGCTTAACCTGCCCGTAGCGCATTACCGTGTCCGTCGCGCTGCCCCACCAGTCGGGTTACCGTGCCCGCGCGCCGCCCTGCTGGCTGCCGCGCTACTTTGCCCTGCCCTGCGTTGCGCTGCCTAGCGCGTGCTCTGCCCTGCCTAGCGGGTGCTCTGCCCTGCCCTGCATTGCGCCGACCTCCGCACGCCCTGCCCTGCGTCGCGCTGCCCGCGCACGCCCTGCCTTGCCCCGCGTCGCGCTGCCCCGCGCACGCCTGCCCTGCTCCGCGTTGCGCTGCCCCGCGCACGCCCTGCCCTGCCCCGCGTTGTGCTACCCCTGCAGCCCACGCGCCGCCCTGCCCTGTTCCCCGTCGCGCCGCCCCTGCAGCCCGCGCGCTGCCCCTGCAGCCCGTGTGCCGCCCCTGGAGCCCGCGCGTCGCCCTCTGCAGCCCGCGCGCTGCCCATGCAGCCCGCGCACCGCCCCTGCAGCCCAGCGCCCCCCGCTGCCCAGCGCGCCAGTGCGTCCTGCTGCCCAGCGCGCCAGCGCGCCCCGCTGCCCAGCGCGCCAGCGCGCCCCGCTGCCCAGCGCGCCAGCGCGCCCCGCAGCCCAGTGTGCCAGCGCGCCCCGCTGCCCAGCACGACCCGCTGCCCAGCGCGCCAGCGCGCCCTGCTGCCCAGCGCCCAGCGCGCCCTACGAGGGCCGCCCTAAACCCTAAAAAAACAAAAAAACAAAAACAAAAACAAAACAAAACAAAACAAAGAGGGGCCACCTCTGCCTGCCCGCGCGCCACCCTCTGCAGCCCGCGTGCCGCCCTGCTGCAGCGGGCCGCCCTACTCTGGCCGCGCGCCGCTCTTCCTTGACCGTGCGCCGCCCCGACCTACCCTAGTGCCTGCTTGCCGCCCTGCCTTCCCTCCGTGTTGCTCTACTGGTCGCGCACCTCCTTGCTTGCCCGCTATGACGTCTCTTCGTGGTAGCGGTGGGAGTGGTGGCGGCGGTGGTGGCAGTAGTGGGAGTGGTGGCGGCGGCCGCAGTGGCAGTCTAGGTGGAGCTGCTCGGTGGAATTTCTGGCATTGGCCAGATATAGCTCCAGCGACATCCGCACAAGTCCCTCATGCCCCAGCAGCTTCGTGTACGCTAGTTGGGGTTGTGGCGGCGGCCGTAGTGGCAGTCGCCCTGGAGCTGGTCGGTCGGGAGTTTCGGGCGGTGGCCAGTTGCAGCTGCAGCGGCGTCCGCGCAAGACCCTTACGCCCTAGCAGCTGCGTGAGTGGTACGCTCAGAGTAGAGGGTCTCGGAGTACTGCTCGCTGCTCGTACGTC